TGGAGAGGGGCTCGGAGGGGTTTGGCAGAGGGGGGGGGGGTGGACTGGAAGGCTGGGGGGCTGTCCTGCAAGGATGTTCCCGTTACTTGCCAGAAAGGAGCATCCCAGGCATGAAGGGAGTGAATTGGGGTGGGGGGGGGAATTGGAGGGGGACCCACCGAGGTCACTGCCTCTGCCCCTACAAACTGCTTGATGTTGTCTCATCAGGGGAACGGGCAGGACTGTGGCATTACCCTCTGTCCCGGGGCTCAGCTCTTCCCCATCTTCTTCCATCCAGTCCAGCCATCAGGAAAAGGTTTCTTCTACCAGTCCTCCCCCCGCAGCCCTGGGGGGGGCTGCAGAACTGGGCTGCGGGTCTGGCAAGGGGAGGCACCGCTCAGGGCAGAGCAGTTGTGCCCTTTGGGAGGTGATGGTCGAGGTGAGGGGAGAGTTTTGGGGCCTGGATTTATCGGGGAGGTTGAATTTTTGTTCCTCTAATACTGGCTGCTGCAGCAATGTTTCCTCCCCTATCGCGTGGCCGTGAGGTCTTCTTTCCCTCCCCACCCTTAAAATCATTAAAAATAGAGAGAATTGTAATATTTTCAAGGTCTTTTGATTTTGGGGTCTGTGTATGGCCCCTTCTACCTGCTTGACATGGATGTGGAGCTTTTCCCTCCTCCCTGGAGGGTCCAGCATCTCCTTTGCAAGAGGTGCAGGCCCGGTAGGAAGTTTATTTTGAATTTATTTGTGATTTTGTGTTTATGGACATGCATGCGTAAGTCTGGGCAATAACGTTGTCCCCCTTCCTCTGCATGGCAAGGGTGGGAGGTGGCGAATCATAGCTGTGCCAGGGCACTCCTGCCCTTCAATTTGGGAAATCATAAAAGGAACAAGGAAATGCAGATCCTGTTCCCCCCAAGCCAGGCAGTTTGATTTCTATATTATTCCAGAAGTAAAGGGATGGCAGGCAGCATTGAGCTTAAAAAGGAAACAGAAGCCACTGGTTTGCTGTTACAGAAAGACAGATTTGCTCGTGGTGGGGTTTTTCCCACAGTTGTCCTTTTCCCATCCTTCAGCAGGAGAAGTTGCGGTACCAAGAAGCAACTTGCCAGGGACAGGACTAGAATTAAACCCTGTATTTTCTCAACCCTTAGGCAATGATTCCTCTTCTTTACCTTCCTGTCTGCATCCTTTTCGTATTCCCCCTTTCCCTGAGCTGCTTTGGAAAGCCAGATCTTGCAGCGATGCTAAAGATGAACAAACTACGGGGGGAAAGAGCACGTTGTGAGATGCAGGATGCTCTCGCCGAATGCCCTGCTAGCATTCCCATCTGCACAGCAAACTGGTCCAGCTTTTGCCTGCGATTGCAGTGCTGGGATCTGGACAGGGAGGTTTCTTTGGCAGTTTTGGGGAGGGGAGGAAGGTGGGTGACAAACCTGCGCGGTGGCTGCCGCCCGCTGCCTGCAGCGCTGCCTGTCACCTCCTGGGTTTGTTGGAAATCTGAGTCAGGTTGGAAATACCATCTTGGACAGATGCCATGGGAATTACCTGGGGGTTGAATCACTTTTTCCTCTCTACTGAGCAACTTGCTTGGTGTTGATGGTACTTGCTTCCCTGGAGTGGTGGCATTTTGGGGCACAGGAGGACAAGATACCTCCTTAACGCCAACAAAAGGTGAGGAGCCCGGCGAGCCTGATTCCCCCAGCTGACCTGCGCCAAAGGGAGCAAAGGAGTGACAAATCCCTCAAAAAAAGCTTCCTGGTAGCCAGGGCTATTAAGCTCCAGAATATTCATCCAAGAGCGGTGCTGGAAGGACCCTGGGGCCTCCTAAAACCAGAAGGAACACAGCGTTGGAGGATATATGGCGGTACTAATGCTGTCCTGGCCCCAGCGGCGTGCTGGATACCTTTAATAGGCTGCACGTCTCTAACTACTGTGATTTCGATAAAAGATCTTCATAAAACTTCCAAATGCCTGTGCCATCACCTGCTTTTCAATCACTCCAAGCACTGCGTCTCCTGCACAGCCTTCCTGGAGCCGTCGTGACGCGTGGGCTCAGGTCCACGCCACCATCCTGCCGTGCTGGATGCATCCCACCTATTCCCACGCTAGTTCTGGGTGGTGAAATGCTTTTGGGGAGCAGCTCTGTGGCTCCGATTTGGCTCCTTGCGACTCAGCGAGGCTGAGCTGAGGTCAGCAAAGCTCAGGACGAGGAGGAAGAATGAGGGATAAAAATGATTTAATGTGACTTTCTGGGTTTCCTGGTGTTTGGAGGGAGCTGGGGACTGGAGTGGCATAAAGAAGGACTGATTTAGGAGCTGCTCTAGCTCGTCTTGTGCTGCGATGGCTCCCTCCGGAGCTACTTAAATAGCCCGTGCGTGGTGAGCATGGGGCTGGAGCTTCCACTTTCCCGGTATGGCAGTGGGGATGTCTCCCCCAGTCCAGCCCGGGGACATGTCCTTGCCGCATGGCCCATCTGAGGGGTCCGTTCAGGAAAAGTGGGTTCCTGCGCTGCCCGTGCAGAAACGGGACCTCAGTGGTGGAAATAAAACCATCCAGGCAGGCCCCGGGCCAGCATTTAGGGACAGGTTTCCTTTTAAATGCTGGTGAATATAATCCTGGTGCTGTAAAATTGGATGGGATTGGGGTGGGAGGAGGTAATGGAAAGGCTGGGTGCTGCTTTCCACACACCTAAAGAATAAATACTCTTGTCCCTGCTGCTTTTTCCCCAGGAGGGTCCCAGGCCGGGCTGGTAGTGGGGTTGGAAGGGGCATCCCGGTGTCTCGCCGGGAGATTGTTGAGGATGGGATGAGTTGGTGCCAATGTTTTGGCTCTGGCTTTGCTTGGCTCAGCTGTTCCGAAGCCGCAGCTCCAGCTGGTGGGTGCCAAACTGGGTTTTGCAAGTTTATTCTGCTGGGTTTTGCCAATAAAGGAAGGTTCGGTGACCAAAACTGCTCTTTGTCCTGCGTGGGCTTCTCCCAGTGGGCACGATGCACTCCCGGGATGCGATTACAGGGGGGTGATGGGGCTCGTCCAGCTGCATTTCTTTGTGCAGAACCTGGCACGAAGGTCCGGGCACCCCAGCTGGAGCTCCAGGGGCTGCTGCAAAAATATACTCTCAGATTGTGCAAATTTCCAAAGTCAAACATTACCCACGTGTTTCTAATCCTTTGGGAAACCTCTTTTTTTTCCAGGTCCAGGGGATCCAGCTCTCTGGGAAGGATGTTGTTGCCATTGCAGCGAGCAGGGGCTGGTTTGGGGGGGGGAAGGAGAACACAGTCTCTCGCACCTCGCCTGATGCTGCTGCACATCCCACCTGGGGGAAGCAACTTGGGCTACAAGGGAGCAGCTGAGATTTTTTTTTTTTTTTAGGTATCATTTATCTGAAAGCTGAATTGAAGGAAGCCTTGGTGGTGCTGCCAGGCCCTTTCTCCCTTGTGCTGCTCAGCCCAGCTCCGTCTTTCCTTTCCTGGGTTTCTATTGCCCTCTAGTGGGACCCTGGGCTGGGAAGATGGGCTCAGTCTGGGGGTGCTGGTGGGGGGAGCTCAGCTCTGCCGAGAAATCACAGGATGCTGAGCACCAGGGGGGGAGTGAAATGCGGAGGGGAGAGGCTCTGGCTAGCACCTCCCGTTTAGCAAAGCAGCTTTCTATCAACGGATCTTATTTTTGGAAGCATTATTTTTCACGAGGTGTTATCAACCTCCGCGGAATTAAGGGTAGAAGGAGATTAGAAAGACAAAAAAGGCCAGAAAGGGGGAATATATTTTTAAGCAGAAAGGTTGCAGTGACCTGAGGTGCAGGTGTGCAGCGGTGGGGGAGAAGCTGGTTGTCGGCAGCATCCTTAGCAGTAAGAGCAAGGAAGAGGGTTTGCAGTTTTCTGTGGCAGGGTGCTGCTGAGCATCTTCCTCCAGTAACGTGTCACAAAAATCCATGTATACAGAGGCAGCTTAGCTACATGGGAGACACATGCCGTGGGATCCTGGTGGCTTTTGCAGGATGCCAGGCAGGCGTCTCGAAGGTTCATCACCAAAGGGAAAGGGCTCTGTTCTCTCGTGCCGTGAAGGAGGAGAGATGGGGCACAACGGAGCTCCCCTGTGGGTCCGATGTCCCCATAAACACCCAGTGCCGCTCTTGCAAAGCTGGAGCAGCTGCATGTAAAGCCGTGCTGTCAAGACTGTGAGTGCCAAAGACCAAAAAAAAACCCCAACCCTGAGAGTGAAGATGCTCTGGGAGAGACAGCAAAGATCGGGAGGTCAGGGAGACTGGCTTATGCAGAGACTTAAAAGAAGCAAGGGAGCATAGCAAGAGTGGGAACCCAAGCCTTCAAATGCCTGACAGCTGTAAGGGGAAAAAGATAATTAATTCAGGTGTTGACTAAGAGGGATATACAGCCTGAGAGGCTGTGTATCCCCTGATGCAGCCCTTTCCCCTTCCAGTTACTCTGGGAAAGAGGCTGCCATCCTTATTTTTATTTCGCAGCCTAACACCCCAAGGTTATTTGGCCGCAGCAGTGAGATTTCAGCTCAGCTCCACTGAGCCACGGTTCAGTGCTCTGTCTCCTGCCTCCTCTCCAGGAGCTGCTGGATGTGGTCTGCCTTCCTCAGCTGGGCTGCTGCGGAGGGATGTGCTCCCAATGCACAGGGAGCAAGTGGATGCCGTTGGCACCCAGAAATATATGAAATGTGGTTAATTCGTGCTTTGCTCTCACAGAACCTTTCG